AACTGCTGAGCGGCAGGTGGGCTGGAGCTCGACTGCGAGCAGCTGGAGTGAGCGAGCGGAGGAGAGGGAAGGCACAGCAAGACAGGGGAGAGGCAGATGAGGGGGAGGGCAAGGAGAGCAGGCACTGAGAGGAGGGGAAAAGACGGAGAGGTAGAAAGCAGGTTGGAGCCAAGGAATAGGAGGGAGGCGGAGGGACAAGTAAGAAGAGAAGAAAGGGAGTGGGGGGGAGTGAGAGAGAGCAGAGGATGGGCAGAAAAGAGGAGAGAGGAGGGGAGAGGAGAGAGGAGAGAGGAGAGAGGAGAGGAGAGGAGAGGAGAGGAGAGGAGAGGAGAGGAGAGGAGAGGAGAGAGGGGGAGCGAGGAGGGGAGCAGAGGAGAGTGGAGGAGGGAGGGAGAGCAGAGAAAGATTGCGGATGGAAACGCGAGAGGGACCTGAGGATTCCAATGTATCTGAGATCGATGGAAACGATCATCGTTTTCAGTGCTGTACACGAACCCCTCCCCTGCTGTTGCTCCATTGTCGGCCCACGACTCGATCCTTGGGCCTGTCCCCGCCGTTGAACCCACTGGCCAGGAACCTCCCAGCGCCCCTGCCCACTCTGATCAACATCCTCCTCAACATCCTCCTCCTCCTCCCTCCCTCCCTCCCTCCCTCCCTCCGTCCCTCCGTCCCTCCGTCCCTCCGTCCCTCCGTCCCTCCCTCCCGGCTCCTGCCGGCTCTCCTTCCTCCTTCCCTCCCTCCCTCCTGGTGCAGCTGCCATCACCCTAATCTCGTGATCCCCCTAGCTTGCCCTTCTACACTCCACTGCTCTTCCCCCGTTACCTGCCGTCCCGTCCGTGTTCTCTCCCCCGCTCGTGTGCCAGTAGTTCCTGCCCGAGCTCGCCTGCTCTACTGTCACCTGCTCCTCCTCCTCCTCCTGCCTATCACCCTGCGAGGCGAGTCTGGTGGGATGTAGCTGGCGGGAAAATCGAAGACGTTGGTCTCCGGCACTGCCGAGAACGGTCAAGGAGGAGGCGGAGACGGAGCAGGAGCAGGAGAATACAGGGGAGGAGAGGAGGAGGGGAGGAAAGGAGAGGGTGGAGGAAAGGGGAGGACCTGAGCCAGCATTCTTCCAGTTGGGCATTTTGACGCTCTCCGGAACAGAAGCAACTTTGCCTGCAGGGAGTGAGTGAGTGAGTGAGTGAGTGAGTGAGTGAGTGAGTGAGGGAGGGAGGGAACGTCAGACATTGATGCAACAGCACGCAGTCGTCGTCGCTACCTGACGTTTTGGCGTTCTGCAGGTTGGAGAGGTACCGGGCGTTACTCTCGTCTAT